TGCTTTTTTTTGTTCTCATTCTGTCATGAGTGTGCAGTGGAATTTTCCAGTGGCTGCATGAAATATAATACCGCACCAGGTTGAACACAGAAATAGAAACGAGAATCAAGTGAGATAATAGAGATTTGTAAAATATAAAAACTTGGTGACACTTTTCAATACTTTTTGTTTGTTTGTTGGAGTTGGAGTCTCAGTCTGTTGCCCAGGTTGGAGTCTCAGTCTGTTGACACACTCATGGCCACCCCAGCATCAACCTGCTGGACTCTGGCAATCCTTCTGCCTCAGCCTTCCAAGTAGCCAGAACTACAGGTGCGCTACCTTGCCTGGCTAATTTTGTTTTGATCTTTATTGTAGAGACAAGGTCTTGCCAAGTTACCTAGGCTGGTCTCGAACCTGTGGGCTCAGGCAGTCCACTCGCCTCGGCCTCCCAAAATGCTGGGATTACAGGCTGAGCCAGTGAGCCCGGTCTCAGTACATTATTTGGAAAATATTTAATTTCTAATGTGGAAATTATTGAAATAAAACCCACAGAAATAAAAACTCTGGGCTCCTGAGAACCACTGGTTTAAATTAAACATTAATTTGAAAACCTCTGTCAGAAATCCAAACCCTAGCCAGTCCGAACTATGTGTTGTCTTCCCATGTTGGCCTTTCAGAGCAAGTCATCACTAAATCAAGGCTTCTTAATCTCTAGGTCGGTATCTCTTCTTGAATGCAATTGCAAATCAACTGCGGTACCCAAATAGCCACACTCACTACTTTAGCTGCACCATGCTGTACCTTTTTGCAGAGGCCAACACTGAAGCTATCCAGGAACAGATCACAAGGTGAGAGGTTTATTTTTTAAATACTTTGAAGTAATACCACCCTCCCCTTTATTTTGAATTCTTGGGACTTTTTCTGTGCATTCATTGTTTAGTGAATATCTTTTTTTTTATTTTTATTTTTTGAGTTGGAGTCTCAGTCGCCCAGACTGGAGTGCAGTGGACGCTCCCAGCCACCGCAGCCTCCACCTGCTGGGCTCTGGCGATCCTTCTGCCTCAGCCTTCCAAGTAGCTGGAAGTATAGGAGCGCGCTACCACACCCGGCTAATTTTTTGATTTATTGTAGAGATGAGGTCTTGCCAAGTTGCCCAGGTGGGTCTTGAACCCGCAGACTCAGGCAGTCCACTCACCTCAGCCTCCCAAAGCGCGGGATTACAGGCTGAGCCACCAAGCCCGGCTGTGAATATCTTTTACATGTCCAATATGTATATGTTACATGTGGGATATAGTTGTGATAACCAGTTGGGTGATTCCTGCCCTCCTAATACAAACAGAATTACAAATCATAATTCTTGCTAAAATTAAAAGTAGTTTACATGAAAAGGCCCATTTTGATTAAAGGTCAGGAGCATCTCTGAGAAGTTGGCAGCCTTTTTAGCCAGTTCTAAGTTATGCAGGCCTATAAAAGACTATGTTAAAAACCATAGACTTTCCCTTATTACTTTTGGGTTGAAAGATTTTAAGCAAACTAGTAGGATCATACTTAAATTTTCCTAATAATTAAATAGGAATTGTTGCAGATTGCTTAGACTACAATACAGCGTTGGAGAGATTGGCAAATAGTAGAGTCCAGTGAGATATCTACATATACTTTATTTTTTATTTTTATTTTTTTTTTGAGTTGGAGTCTCACTGTCACTCAGACTGGAGTGCAGTGGCTGGTACCAGCCACCACAGCCTCAACCTGCTGGGCTCTGGCAATCCTTCCACCTAAGCCTTCCAAGTAGCTGGAACTACAGGGGCGCGCTACCGTGCCCAGCTAATTTTTGATTTATTGTAGAGATGAGGTCTCACCAAGTTGCCCAGGTGGGTCTCGAATCCGCGGGCTCAGGCAATCCACTCAACCTCAGCCTCCCAAAGGCGCGGGATTACAGGCTGAGCCACCGAGCCCAGCTTACATATACTTTAAATGTTGAGCTGGACTTCTAAAACCTAGCCATTTGCCTAGGCTGCTAAATATGGTATTCTTTAGATTTGCTTACAAAATTTAGATTTATACTAAAATTTAACATTTTACTGTTGGATGCCTAATGTTCCATTTTGTTCATGATTATATATAAAGCTGCAGTAAACATCTTTGTACTTAATCTTTTGTTTTTATGCTTCCTGTATACTTCGTAGGTGAAAGGATATGAATATTTAAGCCAATACTTACTACCATTCAGAAAAAGTTTACCAATTTACACATTCACTAACAGTGCTAGAATTTTTGTTTTGTTTTGTTTTTTTGAGTTGGAGTCTCACTTGGTCGCCCAGACTGGAGTGCAGTGGCCGCTCCCGGCCACCGCAGCTTCAACCTGCTGGGCTCCGGCGATCCTTCCGCCTCAGCCTTCCGAGTAGCCAGAATTACAGGTGTGCGCTACCACGCCCGGCTGCTTTTTTGATTTATTGTAGAGATGAGGTCTCGCTGCCCAGGTGGGTCTCGAACTCGCGGGCTCAGGCATTCCACTCACCTCAGCCTCCCAAAGGCACGGGATTACAGGTTGAGCCACCGAGCCTGGCAGTACTAGAATTTTTATTTCCTACTTCTTCACTTTCACTGATTATTTGTTCTTGAAGTGGTTGCTTTTTGTGGGCTCTGTGGACTTATGTGGCTCCCCTAGGCCGACACCCCCGCCCCCCCTTCTGAATAGTTCTGGGATAGATGCAATTGTCTTTATGTCAATACTTTGTCTTCTAGGGCTCAGTAAGTAGAAGAGCAGGGATTCAAACCAAGGTATTCTAACCAGAATTCATCTTCATTATTCATTAGCCATACTATATTGAGTATAGCAATTAATCCATCTGTCTTTACTAAAGGGTAAATACTTTTGCAGATGGTTTAATACTTAGGGAAAGAGAAGAAAGGTAATGGAGGAATGGTCAGGAATTTGTATGTTTCTCTGCCATTAACTAACCCTTTCTCTCCTTTTCCAGGGTTCTCTTGGAACGGTTGATTGTAAATAGGCCACATCCTTGGGGTCTTCTTATTACCTTCATTGAACTGATTAAAAATCCAGCGTTTAAGTTCTGGAACCACGAGTTTGTACACTGTGCCCCAGAAATTGAAAAGTGAGTTAAAAGTAATTTTTAATTGTCTAGGAATGAGACAGGAGCATGAAATCACTTTTCTCTAGTTTGACTTAGTGATTTGTAGCTAAAGCAAGTGAGATGCAGGGCATTGTTAGGCCTGAACTTTTCTCACAAATTTGTAACTCATTTTTCAGGTTATTCCAGTCGGTCGCACAGTGCTGCATGGGACAGAAGCAGGCTCAGCAAGTAATGGAAGGGACAGGTGCCAGTTAGATGGAACTGCATCTCCATTGTAAATGTGTCAGCCTGGAGGTCCTACTGCCCTAAGTTCATAAACTGACTGAAGAATCCTTTCAACCCTACCTGACTTTCCCAGTCCTATGGTTCTCGGGTATCTGCCCCGGCTGTTGTTGGGGTCAGCCTCCTGTCTTATGTGGGCACGTTCCAAAGTTTAAATGCATTTTTTGACACTTGGCCAAAATTTAGAAGATGCTGTGAATATCATTTTGAACTTGTGTAAATATATGAAAGAGAAAACCTCTGTCTGGAACTTCTTGGGTTTGTGTACTATCTGGTACCTTGTAATTAAGAGGCTGCTGATGCCATATACACGGAGTCTGCCAGCATAACTCCATGTCTTGACATTCTTGGTGACCCAAAGAAATAGCAAGCTAACCAATTTAAATATTATGTAACCTTATTTTTTTTAATGTGGACAAGGGACCTTGATAATCACTAAGTTATTAAGAATGTAGATATGCTAGAATTTGATATGCCAAGGAGTATGGGAAGGGCTCATGATAGGGATCTCATGGATTTTTATTTTGCCTCTCTCCAAACCCATTTGAAAGCTGACTGCAGAGCAACAGTTATAATAGCTTCTCACTTCTGTTGGAGAATGTACACTTGGCCATGTGAAACAGGGTCAACTGTTTTTATAAGGGGAAACCAGACTGTGACTAAAGATCTCCCTCATCCCTCTTGTGACAAAAGAATTTCTTGTGGAAAAAGGGAACCAAATCTCATGAATTGCCCTCTCCCATCTCCCCCTTCTGAATAGCTGTACAGGCCGAATGACAAAGTCAGAAAGGACCAATACAGCCCCTTTTGTGAGGATTTTGAACGTTTTGTAAGTGTATTGGCTCCTGTGTTGTATCCTGTGGCTTTTCCTGGGCTTTAGCTCCCCTACCTGTATGTGTGTGCATACTGTAGTTAAACATTAAAGTCATGACAGGCATGGAGCCCACTGTGCCTTTCTCAGTAGCAGCAACCAGTGCTGGTGGTGAGGCAGGTAGATAGCTCAGAGCTTGGGATCATTGGGAAACACCAGCTTCTTACTGAAAGGCACATCTTTCCCACTATTAAGCTGGCATGCTTAATAAACAAGAAAGGAAATTTTTGCAATGTTCTTTTCCTGTTCCCTTTTCAAAGAAGAAAAATTGGCAGAGTAGTTTTCTTTGGTTAAACTGAATTACAAAATGCCCAGGTTTCTTTAAAATCCTTTACCTTAAGGTATTTTTAAAAGAAAATGAATGGGTATAAATATTTTAAAACGTATCCACTGTTAGAATTTACCTCACCTGTAATGACTGCCAAGTTTTATGGCCAGAAAAGACAAAACATTCAGAATTTTAAATAGCTGAAGTTCTATGAGTGGTGTCTTAAGGTTTATTCCCTGGACGAAGTAAGTTGTACCACTAGAGCAAGCTCCAGACTGCTGACTTATATAATTTTGGGTGGATTTAAAGCAGCCATAGTGTCAGTGACACAGCTTATTAAATCCTCTAAGAGTCTTTCAAATAAAGGAGGTCCGGGCTTTGGTTAAAATAGGACAAAACAGAATGTGTTCTTAAGTAACAACCAGCAGTGATTCCCAAGTCATGCAATCCTTACATCACCTTAACCTCAGAGCTAATCCTAGCATGACATCTTTGCTACATTTCCTTTTGGTATTTAATAAGGAAAAAAGAAAACAAATTTTCTTTATTTTCAAACAATATCAGCTTAGAATATAAGTTCTTATTGCTGTTCTTCCGGCAACAGGGAACCTGCTAACTTGTTAATTCCAATAACTGATGTAAGATCATCTTCTGACCATAGCGAACTTGTAAGGCTTGCTGCTCCCTCCAGCTGAGTTTGGCATAGACCTCCTTATTATTGAGTAAATCTTGCTCAGTTTTTAAGTCTGTGGCATAGTTTTGCAGGGTCAGCAGAACACTGTTTCGAAGAAGCTGTTTCCATGATGCTCTGAGCTTGGGGATATTTGTGATTGCTAGGCTGCACTCTTCTCTTTTATCATCTTCCAATCCATCTTGGTCCTTAAACTCTCTAAACTCCTCAGCAGGCATGCACAGTACCTAGAAGCAACCACAGGGGCCCTTTAAAGATTAGGTTGTACTACTTGTATATTTCTGAAATTGATTTACAGGAAACCCAGCCTATTTAAGTGTTTCCCCGACGTTCCACCTTTCCCCCCCTCATCTTCTCGTTATTTTGCTCCAAATACTTAAGCTATTTTTCACTATGGCAGTTATCAGCCCTTTACCTTTAGTGTGGTGATCAGTTCTTCTTCAGTCAGCACCTCCTCCCGCCCAATCACAAAGGCTCCCTCTTCCCCTACCATCTCCAGTTTGCATAAGAAATTCCAGCGTTCACACAGTAGGAGCCTTTCAGCTTCAACTTTTGTTCCTGTGAAGTTAACACAGGGAAGTAGCATGCTATTAAACAGTCTCAGTACACCCAAGGGTTCATTTTTCCCGTAGTCTACCACCTAGTCTACAAGTCAACTGCTGTCCAGGCAGAGCCATTTAACCTGAGGCAGGTATAGACATAGCCAGCAGTATCAAAAGGTTGAGTTAATGAAACACTCACCCTGTAATGCTGCTTCACGAACTGTCACCATCTGAATGTCAGCTGTGTCATCTGTGTTGTCAGGATATGGTTCAACAAAACCGTACATATGAATCAGTTGCCAATTAGCCATTTGTCCATAAGTGTTGAAAATCTCATGGCCTTTAGGAATGGTCTGAGTGGCTACCATCCGAAGGTAATTCTGAGGTGAAAAGAAGAAGCTGGGGCCATGCCTTTCCCAGGCCAGCCCCATGAAGACTACTGCCTTCAGGAAGAGCCTCCAGCAGGGACTGATGTGCTATCTACCAAAGTTCCACTTTCATTTCCTGCTAGACCCTGTACTGTAGAATGAAAGGATGAGGCTATTTATTTTATTTATTTATTTTTGAGTTGGAGTCTCACTCTGTTGCCCAGACTGGAGTGTAGTGGCCGCTCCCGGCCACCGCAGCCTCAACCTGCTGGGCTCCGGCGATCCTTCCGCCTCAGCCTTCCAAGTAGCCAGAATTATAGGCATGCGCTACCACGCCCAGCTGATTTTTTGATTTATTGTAGAGATGAGGTCTCGCCTGCCCAAGCGGGTCTTGAACCCGCGGGCTCAGGCAATCCACTCACCTCAGCCTCCCGAGGCTAATTTAAAAAGGTCAGCTCCATGTTTTATTCAGTGATTCTGCAGAGTCATCTTCAACATTTAAAAAGCTGCTAGCGGCAGGGCTCGGTGGCTCAACCTGTAATCCTAGCACTTTGGGAGGCTGAGGCGAGGGGTTTGCCTGAGCCCACGGGATTGAGGCCCACACGGGCAACTTGGCGAGACCTCGTTTCTACAATAAATCAAAAATTAGCCAGGTGTGGTAGCACGCGCCTGTAGTTCAGGCTACTTGGAAGGCTGAGGCGGAAGGATCGCTGGAGCCCAGTAGGTCAAGGCTGCGGTGGGGCCGGGAGCATGCCACTGCACTCCAATTTGGGCACACTCCGGGCCCCACCCCACAGAGTGAGACCAACTCAAAAAAAAAACAAAAAACTGCTAGCTTTGCTGGGTATGGTGATTCACACCTATTATCCCAGCACTCCAGGAGGCAGAGTGAGAGGACTGCCTGAGACAAGCCCTGGCAACTTGGTGAGACCTCATCTCTACAACAAATCAAAAAATTAGCTGGGTGTGGTGGCATGCACCTGTAGTTTCAGCTACTTGGAAGGCTGAGGTGGAAGGATTGCCTGAGCCCAGCAGGTCAAGGCTGTGGTGGCTGTGAGCTTGCCACTGCACTGCAGCCTGGGCAACAGCATGAGACTCCAACTCAGAACCCCCCCCCAAAACTGCTAACTTCACAAATGAAACTAACCATAGCTCAAGGTAGGAAAGACAAATGGAGGCAAGGGTTAAGAAATAGCCATATTTGCTAATTTTTAATTCCTAAAACGTGTCTTTTCCTGCAGCTTTTCATACAGAATATAACTGGTATAAACCCAGCCCTGAGATACATCTGGACTGTAAAACCCCCTCAGCCTCCCCCCATAAAAAATACCACCACCACATAGTTCTGGCTTACTGACAAAAGCAGGCAGCAAGAAGTGACACATGGCTATGCAGACCATTCCCCCCAGTCACTAGCACCAAATACATGGTAGTATAGTTTATCAGAGGATTAGCCACAACTTTGAGGACATTAGAAAAGATAGCTGGGCTCGGTGGCTCAGCCTGTAATCCCAGCACTTTGGGAGGCTGAGGTGAGTGGAATCCCTGAGCCTGCGGGTTCGAGATCTGCCTGGGCAACTTGGTGAGACCTCATCTCTACAATAAATCAAAAATGAGCCGGGCGTG